GAGATTTGCAATGGTTCTAGAGCATTTTGCTTTTTGAGTTAAAACGTAAGTTGCTAATTTTAAGTCGCAAGTTTAAATACCAATGAGGACCATAAAAACTTATGTCCAGTGTCGCCGAAGATGCTGGCTCAAAAAAGATCCCCACTGCTTAATGGCAAAAAAGTGCATAGTACGTCTAAATTTGGAGCAATGGGGAAATGTTGAAATGTCGTCCCAACAATTCTCGAAGGGATTTAAAGCAAAGAAACAACAAATCTTCAAGGGCCTAATTGAAGAAAAAACACACTGGACATCTAAGGAAGCTGAATTATGATTTTAAAACTATTTGGAAAGAGTATTTAAACAATATTTAAATGAACAAAACCGAATCTACAAATGATTAAAATGCTATGTAAAACAATGTCATAGTCACGAGGTTTAACCCATAAATAAAGGCATGAAAAAGTACAACTAAATAATATTTATCAGGATGAATATGCAAACATATTTACAGCTTCTATGATTCCATAAGGGCATATAGTAAACATAGAAACATAGATAAATTGTTTATTAGATCAAAACTCAAATTAAACTAGAGGTACTGTGAGCGATGAGCTCACTAAATGATACCCCCCGCCTCCCATATGGTTATAACTGGTGAAAAAGTCCATCTTTTCCTGTGGCCGGGAAACCCAAAATATCTGTCGGATCAAAAAGTAAAATAGGAGGTGCACAATGGCAATATGTAATAAAGATTCTGTGAAAGTTTCATCAAATTTCATTCAGTGGTATGAGAGGAGTTGCGGATAAGAGATGGGTACCCCAAAGCGTAACAGACGGACGGACAGACGGACGGACGGACGGACGGACGTACAGACGGACGGACGGACGGACGGACGGAAATACCGATTACTATATACCCCCACTTTTCAAGCGGGGGGTATAATAAAATGCAGTGAAATTGAATGATGTGTTCACTAAGTTGGCCCCTCATATGCTCATGAGGCTGGCCTTTCCATGTATTACCTATCTGAAATTCCACAGACAGATTTGTTTGTTCGTTGTTTACCGTCCCTTTAGAAAATTTATTCACTCACATGGAGACGCAAAGACACCTCCGAAACACACTTAATTAGTCATGGTGAATTTTATTATCAAATTGTTTCAAGAGTGAAGAATTTTATAGTTAGCTAAAGGCATCAGAGTGAAGAATTCTAGTTAGCTAAAGGCATAAGACTGAGACATCGCCCTTGTTTTATTCTGTAATCACACATGGGCGCTATTTTGTTTCCATCAAATGCTTGAAAATCACAGTAGAACAATGTCGGCCGTTCTGGTAAAACTGATTTTGATGAAATGGTATTTTATAAAACTTGGTTGACAATATAAAAAAAAATTGAATCATCTTATTTAAAAAATCTTTTCAGTCGGCGCAATTTAATTGAGTCGGTCGCGTTAGGGGAAACAAAGGTATTTTTTATTTTGGCCTTATCAAGAACCACTGGGCCAGGAAAGATGAAACGCATGTGGAATCATCCTCAGGTAGTGTAGATTCAAGTTTGTTCAAATCATGACCCCCGGGGGTAGGGTGGGGCCAAAACGGCCGATGAAAGTTTTACATAGGATCATAGGGAAACCTTTTAAAATCTTCTTTTCAAGTACTTCAAAGCCAGGCTTCGTTATATTTATTGGGAATCATCCTCAGGTAGTGTAGATTCAAGTTTGTTCAAATCATGACCCCCTAGGGGGGGTTGTAAAATTCAAGCCACCCCCCCCCCCCAGTTTACTTTCAGTTCTGATCTGATCTGTGTTTTTTTCCTAGCCAATTGCTCAGGTGAGCGATGTGGCCCCTGGGCCTCTTGTTAAAAGAAGTGAACCTTTGTTCATTTTATGTCTTTGTCATCTTTTTTGTAAAATTTCACAATTTCATCTTCGTCAAAATTTAAGGAAACTTGGCAAAGAGTATCCTTGGATAAATGCCATTATGGGATTTAAGTTTATTCACATGAAGGCCCACTCCCTCTTCAAACAGATTACTACAAATAAGTGAAAAATTAAGGACATCTTTTAAAAATCTTCTTTTCAAGAACCACTGAGACAGGAAAGAGATACTTATGTGGCATCATCCTCAGGTAGTGTAGATTCAAAGTCAAATGAAGACCCCATGTTGGGGTCAGAATAGGGGATCAAAAATATATATTATACTGTAGATTCCTTATTTTTTGCATTTTTTTTTTGACTAATTTGTGCATTTACTAGCCAATATGCTTAGGTGAGCATATCGCCCATTGGCCACTTGTTTATTTTAGAAATCTTCTCACTTGGTATGAAGTGCCAGTGATCCCCTTTTGATGTCTGTTTTTATCTTTTTAAGCAGAATAATGTTAGGGTTGAACAGGATCCTGAAGTGAGGAAGACTGCCTCTCCCATTGAACTGCAGACATCAGCAGAAAGCAGAGTAAGATTCAGACTTGACTTCTTGTATCTTTGCTTGCCAATTGATGTTGGCTGTACCAAGCTTCTCACTTGATATGAAGTGAAAGTGTTTCCCCTTTTATATCTCTGTTTTATCTTTTTAAGCAGAAGAAAGTTGAGACTGACTAGGAATTCTAAGTGAGGAAGAGTCCCTCTCCCATTCCGCTGCAGCCATGAGGAGAATATTTGTACTTCTTTTTTACCTATGGAACTTCATCAGGACCCACTTTAACAAGCAGGAGTCTTACAAGTATTTTTGTTTAATTATTTCTGATGTATTTTTGTCCTCCCTTCTCTAAAGTAACTATGCATTCCTCTCCTTGCCCCAATAATCCACCTTATTCCTATCATAACCTTATTGTCTAAATTTGCTCTTTGATTTTCCAGCTAACTCATTCTTCAGTATTGAGTTCAGATGTGTGACCAAAGGGTTATTTTTTTAAAATGATCAATTTCATAATTTATGTATATCAATTAAGTCAGTACCCTTCCTGCTTCTGAAAAAAATTGAAGGGAAGATAATCTAAAGTCTTAAAGAGGAGATAGGTGTCCAAATGTACAAGCATGTCTGAAATTCTATGTACGTAACTTGGTGTCCACAGTGACTGTTTTTTAGAACAATAAGCTATTCTTTTCTGGTGAATCCTTTTTGAAGTATATAAACACTAGTTTGCATGTTTTATTGCATGACTTATTTCTGCTTTATTCCATTACAATTAGAAAATATATCCAAGACTACCAATGGACACTGTTACTTACATAAGCACTAAACAAGTAACATGTTACTAGAATTTAACAAGTTGTTAAAATATGAAAATAATGTAATCAATAAGGTATGATGAAATCATGTTTAATGTTATATTAAATGGAATTTATTTTAAAAAGTCACAATTTTTATTTCTAGTTTCAAAAAAGGAGAAATTATGTAAGTAACATGGACACCTAACTCCGAATCAGGCTTTAAAAAGGAACAAAAAAATAACAAGACAATCGAACACTTGTCTTTAATACTTTTAATATTTCATTTCAAAGCTTAATAATAGACAAGCTTTCAAAGAGAATTAATGCAGACAAGTAAATTGTCAGATGAATAACTAAATATCCTAGATCTTCTATTTTGAGTCTTGGATCTTTGTGTCATTGTTAGGAACATAATTCAGTCATTTCTTGTAAATCTGAAAGAGAAAAATATATATAAAACAAAATACAACATGATGTAATCAACACATATGCTGTTTAATTATATTTATTATATATCCTTGATAAAATCAGAAAGAAGGCAATTAAAGTACAAATTATGTCACTACTTCAAGTTTTTGTGTCTCTGTTACGAACGTAATTGCGTAAATGATATGGCAATATTAAAACAAATATTCAATAAGTATTCATCCTTTGATAAGAGCAGAAAAAAACTAACAAATATAGAATAAAATATAGTACAATATAACTTTATCATTAATAGATTATACAAATAATGCAAAAACACTTATGTTCGTAACAAAAGACGCGAATCAAAAGTCAAATGTTAAACCGAAAGTACTCGACTCGGACAGATTTATGCATTTTGTATGGTCATAAGCGACATATTTTATTTTCTGATTAATAGCTACATGGTATAAAGATACAATGTCTGTATTTATGTGTTAAACATTCACTAAAATTGATACAATATGAAAATACTTACCGAATCTATCATGTTCGTAACTTCTTTTTTTCCATATGGACACAATGAGCATCGCCATTTTTTTTAGCAGACAGCTGCACAACCTTTCTACTTTCGTTTTTAATTTATAATTACACCACTGCTACGGACTTTCTGAGCCAAACTTATGATTCATTGGCTGTTATTTTAGCAATCATACTAAAAGCTATTATGTTCGTAACGGTCAAGACACCAAACATTTTACAATCAGAGATCATTTTAAAATTACAAAAAGAAATGAGTTATGTTCATGAAGCATATTGTTAAAAATAATTTGTCACACATACTCATTAATTAAACACAGAAACTGAACTTGACAGATTATTTAATGTTTGTAGAGAGGTGTTAAAAAGTTCAATGCATATGGACACCATGCGTTACGAACATAAACCACAATTTTTTAAGTTCACAAAAAAATAATTAAAATAATTTTAGCATGTTTGACAAAATAAATATATTATTTCATATATGCTAAGATAATGTACACAAATATCATGCCAAATGATTTTATTTTTAAATAAAACAACATCTTTATGCCTATTCGAAAATTATGTCACATTTTCTGCATCTGAAATCCCCTAAATGCAATACAACAATGATCAATTTCTTTTTTATTCCTCAACTTATATCCATGAAACTATTTATACTATATCCTTACACAAGTATCAAATCATATCAATATCAATCTATCTGCTTACACTTTATTTATTGGAAAATAAAGGAAAAAAAGAAATACATTTTAAAAATTCACCAGTATTGAAGAATGAGTTAGCTAATAAATGTTGTAATGATTATGATCATTTGAGTTTCTTTGATTATTACATTGCTTTGAATTATTGCTTATCTTCTCTCCATCAAGTATTTTAAAGGGATTTGATAAGGGAAGAAGGAAGAAGACCAGTGATGACCAAGAGAAGAAGAAGAGTCCATTGCCAAACTTTGTCCAGCAACCAATATCTGATAATGGAGTGAGTAAAAAGCTCTTTTTTTCGCAATTTTCAAATTTTCTTTATACACTTATTCAAGTCATAGGTTCAGGGTGATTTACTTCTGCAGCACAACAGCAACCATGTTGCAATCTAAAGCATCATGAGGATGTCTTGATTCAAATTAGGTTACATCATGATCCCTTTGGATTAGGATTAGTAAAAATATGAAATAAGATTTTTTTTTCTTCTGATGACAAGGTCAAAATGATTCAGGTGAACATTTTGGCACAAGGTCTCCTTCATTATTTTCAGTGATCTTCAGATTTTTTTTGTTAACAGGCAGAAGATGAGACTGACCTCAACTTGTTAACAAGACTGGAGATGAAGGACTAACTACTGTCTAACCTGAAATCTTTGGTAAGTCAGTTGCATGTCAAGCTCTAGACCTTGTGTTATGTGAATTAAATGAGATTATGACACTCGCATTTCTTGAATTTCTAGTTTCTGTTTTTGTTAATAGGTAGGTGTTTATGCTGGCATTGATCCTGTTTCCAAAAGCAGCTCACCATGTTTCTGTGAGAGTCCAAAGAGATCAGCTAGAACCTGAAAATAAAGGTAAGATACAAGCTCTGCAAACTCCTTCTAATCTGTGAAAATATGTTAGCCTTTTTTCATTTATTAAGATTTTATTAATATTTTTTTGATCCCTCATGATTTGTTATCTTTACAGACAGACTGCCATCAATTTTGTTTCTTTGACAGCACTGACAAATATGCTTCAACAATAGTGCAGAGATTAAGGTTTGGGCTGCAAGTGATGGACACACTAAAGAGCTTAACTCACAGAATTCAATGGACTGTGATGAGTACATTGTTATCAGAAAGTGATGGACACACTAAACAGCTTACCTCACAGAATTCAATGAACTGTGCCGAGTACATTGTTATAATAAAGTGATGGCAATTGGACACACTAAATATCTTAACTTAAAGGATTCAGTGCACTGTGCTGAGTAACTCTTATCAACACAGTGATGGACACACTAAGCAGCTTAACTCACAGAATTTAATGGATATTGCTTGAGTACGTTGTTATTACAAAATGATAGACACAGTAAATAGCTTGACTCCAGAATCCAGTGGACTGTGCTGAGTACATAACTCATAAAGGATAACTCCTGATATATTCACAGCAGATCACTCAAAATTAACTCTTTTAAATTTGTAATAAGGCATTTGGAGAAAGCTCAGAGTGCTACTACATTATTGTCTTTTCATATACTAAGTTATTTTTCTGAATGTTTTTTGTATCTGTATATTATATTTTTAAATAAAAAAAATTTCTTAAAGACTGGATTTTAAAGCAAAAATATCAAGAGAGGTAAATCAGAGATTGTCGGAATATCTAAGCTTAAGAGAAAGGGAGGTAATTTTTAGCACAAGTGAGCTTTTCTGATCACATTTTGTCCGTCGTCTGTCCGTCCGTCTGTAAACTTTTCACATTTTCAACTTCTTCTCAAGAACCACTGGGCCAATTTTGACCAAACTTGGTACAAAGCATCCTTGGGTGAAGGGGAATATAAATTGTTAAAATGAAGGGCCATGTCCCCTCAAAAGGGGAGATAATCAAGAAAAGATAAAAATAGGGTTGGGTCATTAAAAAATCTTCTTCTCAAGAACCACTGGGCCAATAAAGCTGAAACTTATGTGGAAGCATCCTGGGGTAGTGTACATTTTAAATTGTTCAAATATTGACCCCCGGGGGTAGGGCGGGGCCACAATGGGGAATCGAAGTTTTACATAGAAATATATAGGAAAAATCTTCTCAAGATCTACTGGGCCAGAAAAGTTGAAACTTATGTGGAAGCATCCTAGGGTAGTGTAGATTCTAAATTGTTCAAGTCATGACCCCCCGGGGTAGGGCGGGACCACAATGGGGAATCAAAGTTTTACATAGAAATATAAAGGAAAAATCTTTAAAAAACTTCTTCTCAAAAACCACTGGGTCAGTAAAGCTGACAGTAATATGTGGAAGCATACTGGGGTAGTTTAGATTCCCAAATCATGACCCTCGGGGATAGGGCGGGGCCACGATGGGGAATCAATGTTTTACATAGAAATATGTAGTAAAAATCTTCTCAAGAACCACTGGGTCAGAAAAGTTGAAACTTATGTGGAAGCATCCTAGGGTAGTGTAGATTCTAAGTTGTTCAAATCATGACCCCCCACCCCCCACCCCGGGGTAGGGCGGGGCGACAATGGGGAATCAAAGTTTTACATAAAAATATATAGGAAAAATCTTCTTCTCAAGAACCACTGGGTCAGTAAAGCTGAAACTTATGTGGAAGCATACTGGGGTAGTGTAGATTCTAAATTGTTCATATCATGACCCCCGGGGGTAGGGCTGGGCCACGATGGGGAATCAATGTTTTACATAGAAATATATAGGAAAAATCTTTGAAAATCTTCTTCTCAAGAACCACTGGGCCAGAAAAGCTGAAACTTATGTGGAAGCATCCTTGAGTATTGTAGATTCTAAATTGTTCAAATCATGACCCCCGGGGGTAGGGCGGGGCCACAATTGCCCATCAAAGTTTTAGATAGGAGTATGTAGGAAAAATCTTTGAATGATTCTAAATTGTTCATATCATGACCCCCGGGGATAGGGTGGGGCCACGATGGGGAATCAAATTTTTCATAAAAATATATAGGAAAAATCTTTTAAAAATCTTCTCAAGAACCACTGCGCCAGAAAAGCTGAAACTTAGTGGAAGCATCCTGGGGTAGTGTAGATTCTAAATTGTTCTAATCAAGACCCCCGGGGGTAGGGTGGGGCCACAATTGCCCATCAAAGTTTTACATAGGAGTATATAGGAAAAATCCTTGAATGAAAATCTTCTTCTCAAGAACCACTGGGCCAGAAAAGCTGAAACTTATGTGGAAGCATACTAGGGTAGTGTAGATTTCAAATTGTTTGAATTATGATCAGTGGGGTAGTGTGGGGTCACAATATGTATTTCAAGGGGAAAATCTCATAAAGAACAGAATGGCCAAAGCTTCTCAGGTGAGCGATGTGGCCCATGGGCCTCTTGTTTAAAGATTTGGGAACAGAAAACCCATGACTAGTTAGTCATTAGGGTCCCGCAAGGACTTGCGGGTGTCCTATAGTTATCACTCTGTCTGTCCGTCTGTCATTCTTCCGTCCACAAATTTTCTTTTTTTTCTAATAACATTTTTTTATGGTTGCCCAATTAAGTTCAAATTTGGTTTGGTGGTTCAGTAGGCAGAAAGACATTTTTTGATGCTAAGTTTCGTTCTCTGTGTCTTCTGGTTTGGAGCTGGGGTGGTGGGGTAGATTCCTTGATTTGCATAAGAATGAATGGGCAAAGAGAGATAACTGCTGAGAATGTTCCTATTGTAAACTGTGAAAGCTGCAATGAGCCCCTTGGGATTAATTAACCTTCCACTTGAAGAAAATCCTAAGCTAAAGCATTATCTTTATCTGTCACATTGAGATTAATTACTGCCTCGATCTGTCTGCAAATGAAGTTTGTTTTGAAGTTAAGGTCAACTTTGAATGTTGTGTTCATTCTCTGAAATGTTAATTGATTTATATAATGCTCAAACTTTATTTTGGTTAAAATACTGTATACAATGATTAATGATTTGATTGAATTCTAAAAACAAGATATGTTTTAATATATCTTTTTTAATTATTATATATATTTTTAAAATTATTTAATTATTAATACTTTTTTTTGCTGCGTAAATGCTTTTAATTTTAGCTGGTAATCAGATAGTAACCCCATTCTGTCATTGCTGAAAAAAGTTCTTATTGTAAATTTAGAAGAAAAGGATGAGAGAGCAGTACAATTAATCCCCTGGGATAAATTCTGCTTGCTGCAGAAAATTTGGAGGCTTGTCTTTATCTGTCACATGAAGATTAATGAACACCTTTGTCAGTTTGTCTGCAACTGATGTTTGTTTTGAAGTTGAGGTCAATCCTGAGTGATATACTTGCATTCACTGAAGGCTAGCATTTTTACGTCACCTGAGTAAACTCGGGTGACCTATTGCTATCCGTTTTCGTCTGTCGTCGCCCGTCGTGTGTTAACATTTGAACATTTTCAGCTTCTTCTCAGCAACCACTGAACCAATTTCAACCAAATGGTACAAAGCATCTATGGGTGAAGGAGAACAAAAAATTTTGAATTTCATGATCCCTGCTCCCCTGGGGCCTGAGGGGGTGGGGCCAAAACCACTAAAATTAATGCAATCTTTAAAAATCTTCTTTACTCCTGGACATCAAGCAGTCAAACCGTTTGCATGATTGAAATCAGCATTGAGTCCTCTACCAAAATTGTGAAATTTATGGCCCTGAGGTCAGTGGTTCTAGTGCTAGGGTGTTGCTAAATAAGTATATAGTAAAAATACATGAATTCTTTCAAAATCTTTTTCTCTGCTCCTAGGTATTAAATAAACTAAGTAAGTGTATATTTATGATGAGCAAGAGTGCCTCTACCAAAATTGTGAATTTTATGGCACCAGGGTCAGGGGTTCTGGCGTAAGGGTGGGGCTCTATTGATTATATAGTGAAAATACATGAATTCTTTGAAAATCTTCTTCTCTGCTCCTAGGTATTTAATAAACCAACTAAGTACATAGTTATGATGAGCAAGAATGCCTCTTCCAAAATTTTGAATTTTATGGCCCCAGGGTCAAGGGTTATGGTGTTAGGACGGGGCTCTATTGATTATATAGTGAAAATACATTAAATCTTTGAAAACTTTCTTCTCTGTCTCTGGGTATGAGGCAGATGAACTACCTATATAGTTATGATGAGCAAGGGCCCTAATCTTGCAGAATTGTGAATTTCAAGGCTTCAGGGTCAGGGGTACCATAGAGGGGGGACTGTACTTATATACTGAAAATGAATGGTTTGAAATCTGCTCCTTGGTATTAATCAAATTTTTGAAAAGCAAGGTTGCCTTTTCAAAAATTGTGCAGTGTGTGGATCTTGGCCTAAGGATCAGGGGTTCATGTGTGGTAGGGGCACTACTGATTATTGCTGAATATTATGATTAGTTGAAATGCATTTTTTTCCCCCTACCGTGCCTATAGGTATTAAGTAACCAAGCTAAGCAACTGCTAAGTGTATTGTTATGATGATCAATGGTGCCTCTTTCAAAATTGTGAATGCAATAGCATCTAGCTAAAAACATGAATCAAATTCAATAACTGGAAAGTTGTTGCATAATGCTCTGGTGACCTATAAGGCCCATGGGCCTCTTGTATAAAACACTTTCTTAAATCTTTGTAGCTCACCTGAGCCGAAGGCTCAAGTGAGCTTTTCTGATCACATTAATTCATTTTGTCCGTCGTCCGTCCGTCTGTCTGTCCGTCCGTCCGTAAACTTTTCACATTTTCCACTTCTTCACAAGAACCAATGAGCCAATTTTAACCAAACTTGGTACAAATCATCCTTGGGTAAAGGGGAGTTTAAATTCTTAAAATGAAGGGCCAAGTCCCGTCACAAGGGGAGAAAGTCAAGGAAAGACAAAAATAGGGTGGGGCCTTTAAAAAATTTTCTTCTCAAGAACCACTTGGCC